GATTTATTTTATTTAAAAGCTGTAAACTTAAATTGCCTGTTGGAAAGCCATGTACTGCTTCACCATTATCAAGTGCCATTGGAATATGTTCAACATCACCTATATATCATACGTAAAATAATATTAAATCAATGAAATTTCAAATTAACTTACGACCAATACAAAGACAAAAAAGTGAAATTTGAATAACAGGAATTAGAAATTGAAATATCAACAAACTAAAAATAAGTCAATATTCATCACTAAACCAAATACCAGAAGAAAAAAAAACAACCAAGTTTACCTAATATTTCGTTTAATCAGTGTTAAATCTTTCATTATTAATGCATAAATTTTATGTATATGAGGAAATTTAAAATAATCAATAACTAATTATTTTGCACATATAGATTAAACATAAATAAATATATTTAATTTCCTATCTATTTTCGACCTAAACTTACAATTTTTTCTCGAGGTTTCTTTTCTATTAACTGTTATCAGAAGACTTTCAACAGCTGTATCAGCAATATAAGTTGATTCTAAATTTTGATCGTCAATATTATTGGATACGTCGATATCGCGATCACTATTGTTATTATTCATTGTAGTTTGTTGTTCAATACGATTTTGATCTTCATAACATAATTGAAGAAAAACATTTTCTAAACTCTAAAAAAAAACTATGTGAGTTAATTGAATAAGTTTTGAATAGAATTCTAAACAAACAGTTTCATTATATTGATTTAAAAGATGATTTGGTTCATCTTCAGCTAATATTCTTCCACTTCGCATAAGTCCAACCTAAATGAAAATTTCTTTTTTATAGTCCATAAATGAAAGAACAAAATTTTCTACTCGATTAGCTTTTCTTGCTTCTTCAATATAATGAGTTGTTACCATTATTGTTGTTTTACTTGTCTGTGACAAATAGATAAGATGACTCCAGATTCTTAAAAAAAAAAAGATTTCGATTAAAAAAGAAATAAAATTCTTCTATGACAAACTTTTCTCGAAGTAAAGGATCAACTCCAACAGTTGGTTCATCAAGTATTAATAGTTGAGGTTGTTGAAGAAGAGCACATGCTAATGAGACACGACGTTGTTGACCACCACTTTAATATAGAACGAAAAAAAAATAAATATAAGAACATTTGTATTAAAAGATTTAAATAGAACCTTAATTGTGAAACTCGCTTTGTTTTCGAAGGTAAATCAAGAAATGAAATAAGGAATTCTTCTCGAGATAAAATTTCTCTTCGTTTCATATTATGAAGACGACCGAAATGATGAAGCATTTCAGATATTGAAAAATTTCTATAAAGTGCTGTTTCTTGTGGCATATAGCCAACAGCTCGACCAGGAATTCCATGTCCATGTGTACCTGGTCGTTTACCAAAAACAATTATTTCACCTTGATTTAATTCTAAACGTCCAACAATACATCGTAGAAGAGTTGTTTTTCCACATCCTGATGGACCTAATAGACCATATCTAGATTTAAATATGTATTATTATTATTCTTGTTTTTTTTTGATAATTAAATAATATACATGATGCCTGTTGGAACATTAACATTTATACCATGTAAAACTGTTATTGATTTCCACCAATGACCGTATGTCTTCCATGCATTTTCAACACAAACAGCCAAATCAGTTGATTCATTCTCAAAGAAAATAAAAATATAATTAGCTTTTAATTTACAAAATCAATCTCAGAACAAAAGAAACAAGCACACATTTATATTCTCAAGCGCATGGTTGCTTACCATCATCAAACATTCGAACACAGTTGAATAAGTACGAAATCCGACTTTTTTTTTACATATACAGAACAGGTAAAAAGAATCGTACAGCCGTAGAAGGCCGACATCTCTCTCTCTTTCTTCCTTACGCATGTACAGCTTTTTCTTCGACGAAATAGATGCCTAAGAAATAAAAAAAATCAAACATTTGGCGTTACTATTCACTAATCCTAACAGATACGACGAACAAAATGTTTTTCTTTGTTCGTTTGTCCTCTTATTTTTACATCAGCGATTCAATTCATTGACAAGCACACCTCATGCACGTGCAGTCGATGAAACGACAAAACCCATAATGTACAAGAAGGGATGTTTTCTTTCTCCGAACAACGTAACAACTATGAAAAGTGGACAGTTTCGCAATTCGACAATCTAACAAGTAATAGACCATACATACCTCTCCAAAAATAAAATAACCCTAAATAAACAGTTAGAATTCAATAGCAATTTATTTTGGTATTGGATTCACAATTCAATACTCTATCGATTCAGTACTTATGTAAAAATATTTGGTTTGAAGCCTGATTCAAATCTGATTTTTGAGATCATTTCTTTTCATGAACAATGAACTATTCATATTGCTTAAGTTTTGGGTGTGGATAATATCCTCATGAACACGCACCCACACCCTAGTTCTTCTGTGTTAACACAAGTACTTAATTGCTGATCGATTAATTTTCATCACAAGGTATAGTTTTCTATCATAGAGAAAAAAGTTCTTATGAAACTTTATATGCGTTAAGGAACATTTTATCTCGATGAGAGAAAAAATAAAGATAAATATAATCGGTAACCGTGTAAATATTATGTCTCACTATTTTTCATTCTAGACTGATAGAACACTTATTTTTCAACAAGCTTTACAAAGTGAGTCAACATTCTTTCAGTGTGAAAGCAAATAAATTAAACTAAACATCTTTTTTTTATTACAAAATATTATATTACTACAATTAGTCGTCGATTGCACATCTAACATACATCATCATCGAACTTATTCATATTAGTTCTGACGATGAGTATTATACCAAAGGACGTTCGTATGTTATACTTCGTCAATTATTTAAAAAACGTTATTCTCTATTCAACAGCGGTAAAGTATGGGATGATTCATCAACTTGCGGGAGTAATTATTTAACTAATGTTATTGCACAAAATAAGAAGTTTAATTTAACCAAAATTCAAACAATATCTATCGCTAATGGTGATTCCAACCAATGGGATATAACGACACTTACTTCTCTTCTTCTCAATGCTGATCGTCCTAAAACATTGAGTCAGGCTCAAATACAAGAACTCGATCATGAAGATTTACTTTTAAAACAATTAAGAGATATTAGAAATAAGTTAACTCATCATGCATCAAAAGCTATAGATGATACTGAATTTAGTCAACTCTGGACCGATATAACGAACATTCTAGTGGTATTTGGTGAAAGTGACTGTGAGTTAGACAAATTAAAAGATGATAGTGTATTTGAAGCACCTATTCAATCGATTAATAAAGAAAACGTTAAAGAAGCAACACGTCTGAATACACTTGGTACACAAGCTCATAAAGATGGGAAATTTTCCGATGCTATTGCATTATTTATGAAAGCAACCGTCTTACTAGGTGTGTTAGATCGTGATCGTGCAGTTTTCTATTCGAATATATCATCTAGTCGTCTTGCATTGTATGAAAAACAGCAGAATGGTACTTCAAGCATATTTGAAATACATGATCAAAGAGATCAACGATATCTTGCACTTCAAGATGCGAAACTAGCTTGTAATCTTTGGCCAACGTGGTGGAAAGGTCATTTTCGCGTTGGAAAAGTATATGCCACCCTGAATGAACATGATAAAGCTGTTAATTCATTTGAACGAGCATTAGCTCTTGAACATACGAAAGAAGAGATACGAAAAGCATTGGATGAAAGTCGTCATATACTTGGTCGGCAAATGCGTTATGAGCATCTTGATCCACGATTTAGTCCACGAACGGTTCCTGAGCAATTAAATGCATTACAAGAAACAATTGGAATAAATCCAGAAAATCTGCGCATGCTACATAGTTTAGCAGAGGCAACAGATTCAGCTGTAGCTGATGTTCTCAAAGGGTATAAATATGAGCATGGAGATGTTGATGTTAAACAAGATTATGAGCAAGCTGCTAAATATTACGCGAAAGCAGCAGGTCAAGGCAGTGCAGCGAGGATGTACAATTTAGCTCGATTGACCGATCTTGGTTTAGGCGTTAAAAAGGATCACGATATGGCTCTTAAATTGTTTGAACAGGCTGCTGCATAATCACCAGAACATCCTAAATTTAAAGATCGCTCGAACGTTGGTGTAGCTGAAGCTGAAAACGCTCTAGGACTTCGCTATTCTGAAGGTGTTGGGATTCATAAGAACCCAGCACATGGTACTTATTGGTATTGCCGTGCTGTCCAACATGGTAATGCTGAGGCAGCAAACAGTCCGGCATTAATGTACCAAGTAGGCAAGGGCGTTGAGAAGAATGTTGAAAAAGCCGAACAACTGTTCACATTGTCGGCTAGAAGAGGTGATCCAAATACTATGGTAAATTTAGCTATATTGCTACTCGATAAAAATGACTTCGAAATGGCAGAAACATGGTTTAATTGAGCATGCGAATCCGGTAGCATTCTTGCTCAAATAAAACGTGCTGATTTTGAGACGACTTTAAGAGAGATAAAACAACTCATGGCTAGTTGTCCGTCCAATGCTGTACTAATGCTCAATGCAATGAAAAATGCACTTGATTCCCTAAAAACATCAAAATCGATTAGTGAACTGTCTAAAGGACGATCCAAATATGATTACAATGTTCTAAGCGAATATGCGAATCAAGGTTCAGTAACTGCTAAAAGATTATGCAACGCGCTAGAGCATTTCTTTTTAGCGCTGACAATACTAATCGAGTCTGACACGTTGACAGAACAACAAGAAGATACATTGGTACATGAACTTTCAGAATGCTATCGTCTTGAACATATTGTCGCACAATTTTTTGTTTCAGATATGCGTGAGAAAGTTGGAAAAATTGTTGATCAAGCACTTCGTCGATGTAGAGAAATGCCAGATTATCCTGCGTCACAACTTGATGAAGATGCTCGAGTGTGTTACGCTTCCCTACACATGGATTCACATAAATTAATCGACCAATTTCTCAATTCATGCAAACAAAAATATCCTAAGTCAATCTATTTTTTTGAACTGAGTACTGCAGTCAACGGTTGGTTAAAACGTTATGACGCTGCCGTGTACAATGCTAATGCTGGTCTAGAACTAGATCCAATGAATAGCAATTTATTAATTGATAAAGCCGTCGCATGGCGTCTACTGGAGAGCCACAATAAAGAAGCTGTTGAAGTGTACAAATCGTTTTTGGCCATTGCTCCCAAGGATCATCGCATAGTGCCAGATCCATATTATTCGATGGCCATGTGTTATCTTGCGCTTAAAACGCATGACGGTCTAGACGTTGCCAAGAAAATGTATGAACAAGGTAAAGAGGCAGAAAAACTACAATTACCATGTTTCTTACCGTATGAATCCAGCAGTAAAAAGCTCCTTGAATTTCTGCATAATGTTCCGAGTCTAATAAGTACAAAAGCAGCACCAGAAGCAGCGGCTTCTGTTGTTAATCACAAGGCACATCTTACTGATCCATATCGAATAGAAGTCATCAAACTTCATCGTAAATGGGAGGCGGACGTAATCGAACACACTAAGAAATCCAATATTTGTATACCAGTCCAACATCACGAACCTAAATTTCGGCAACAAACAGCCAAGTCATTAATTGGCTTGAAAGCAATTTCATTAAGAGAAATCAATCCCACAAAAGATCATGTTTATCAAGGATATGTTCTTTCGGTAAGTGACGGCATAATCCTATTATATCTGGTAAAGACTTTTTTCATTTTACAATTAAAGTTAATGAATTCAAGCGGAACAATCTATTCACCAACATTCCGAACAAATCATAGTAATTGCTCTTATATTAATCAATATAACTATATGTTAAAAGCTGAG